AGAATAACTAGTCTGGCCTTGTATCGCTCAATTATTCCATTAGAGTTGTACTTTATCTCTTAAACCCACCTGCAATCGAGAGCCTTTTTGTTAGGAGGCAGATCCTCTATTACCCATATTCTGTTATTCTTTAGTGCCTATATTTCTATTCTCATTGCTTTTTTCCACTTGCCATCTTATCCAGCCTCAAAAATGAGCATGTTCATGTACTGAAAGCCCTTTGTTGTACAGAGAATTGATCACAATTCACAAATTGTGTTAAAGGATAAGGCCTACCTGAGTGATGTTATGAAGTGGATGAAGGATAAAATCAACTCAATTTATGGACAACATTAGTAACATAATCACGTAATCGGACCAATGTGTGTTTTTGGCGGTGTCTGTATCCCAACTGCTCCTCCTCTATTATTTCATCTTCCTCAATTTAGGCCCCTATCTCCTGGTGAACATTTTCCTCTATCTCGGATTCGTGGTGATCTTCCACTCCAAGCTCGTCTTCACGAGCTTCGATCGATTCACTTCCTCCCCTCGCATCAGACTCCTCATCCTCTCTAGTTCCTCGACATACATTTCTTTATTTTCATCCCTGCTTGTGTTATATGTTTATGAAGCAAAAGGGAATTCAGTCTCATAGAAACCAACATCTCGTGAAATAAGATATGTTTTATCTCTAAATCATACACCTTCTAACCTTTCTTTCCTTAGGGATATCCATGAAGACACACCTACGACTTCTACTCGAAAATTTATCACCCTTCCTCCCTTAGCTTCGAGCATAACATAGCGAGCCAAATACTCGAAGATGTCCATATTCAGGTACTCGACCATATAATAATCATAAGATGTCTTTCCATTCAATATTGAAGATGAATTTCGATTAATCAAGTGACAAGCAGTCAATACACATTTTCCCAAAAATTAATTGGCAAGTTACCTTGAAATCGCAAGGCTCGGGGTACATAAAAAAATATGATGATGCTTCCTTTTCACTCTCCCATTTTGTTGGTGTGTTCCTATATACAAAGTTTGAAAAAAAATCCCACATTCAAAAAAATAATTTCTCATACATGTAAACTCTGTTCATTTATCGCTCCTAAAGGTTTTAACTCGCTTATTGAGTTGTCTATCTATCATAACAAAGAAATTCTTCACAGTTTGCACTACTTCTTTCTTATTAATTAATTAAAAAATCCATACAGCACGCGAGTAATCATCTGCAATGGTCAAAAACTATGATGCACCATAAGACGAAGTTGTTCGATAAGGTCCCCACGAATCACAATTAATCAACTCAAAAATGCTAGAAGCTCTATTATTACGAAAAAAAAATTTGTCTCTTGTTTATTAAGCCCGATGACATACCTCACAAATTTTATCCAAAACATCACTATTTTTTCTGAGATCTACTACATGAATTAATTTGGTCACTTGTAAAGAGGGATGACCCAAACGTCTGTGCCAAAGATCTAGCAAGCCTACACCACCAACCTTTAAAGCACATACCCTCTATTTGTTCTAGAAATAGTAGAGTCGATCGTTTTTCTCACCCGCTCCAATCAGCATCCTCGAGGTGCGATCATGTATAATACATAAAAGTTTATTGAAAAGGACCAAATAATCTGAGTAGTCGATTAATTGAGATACAAAAATTAAATTGCATGTTAAGCCGGGCACATAAAAAATATTTTTAGGACCAAATTTCCTTCAAGTTTATTGAACCCTCGTTGGTTGCTACAACAATACTCCCATCAGGAAAACTCACAGGACATCATGCAATTTTTCACACATTATACAATAATTTTAAACATCTTGTCATATGATTCATCACTCATGTATCGATAATATGAGATACATAATTTTTCTTACTAGTCCTCTTCTCATTCGAACTTATCCGTTGGTTATTCAACATAGCAATCAACGTCGGCCACTGCACATTGCTCAACCTTGGAGGCAAAGCCTTTTCTGCCCCATCATAGCTATGGAGATGCCACCTCCCGTGATCTGTGCAACATTCGCCCGATACGCCGCGACATGTCCGCGACCTCCATTCATTGCACCCCTCTGACGTTGTTATTTTTCTCTACCACGTCCACTTGATTTACCATCACCACGAGGTCTGTCTCCTAACCATTCTGGATATCCAATAAGCTGGAAGCAATTTTCTGAATCATATCCAGTTCGTTTTCAGTAGGAATACGTATTTTTGTCCTTCACTTCATTCTGACCTCTATAGGGGGTGTCCCTTGTACAACAAAAGCCATAACATCGCTATGTTCATCTATCCCTCGAGCCATCTTCTTCACACGTTCGATCTTGTACCAGTTTCAAATAAACTCGATTCAAAGTTGGCAACGGATCTTGAGCGAGCAAGTTCGACCTTGCTGTTCCATACATTATTTTGTCTAATCCCATAAGAAAAAGGTGCACCTTCTCCTCTTTCCTTTTCTTTTACAAGATTGAACCAAGATCGCATGTGCACTTACCACATGCGCAAGTCAGTGTTTGATTAAAATTAGCGAGTCTTCCTAAAGTTTTATTTTATTTTTCATAGTAATTAACTATGGTCATGCACTTTTGTTTGCACTCTGCAAATTCAGCCTTCAACTACTATATCTTGGACCGTTAGAGACCGAGAAATAGTCTTTAATACTACTCCATAAATTTTTAGCTACTTCTATGTGTGGTATAGACGAACGCAAAGTAGGTTCAATAGCATTCTAAATCTAAGAAACTAACAACGAGTTGATGGTGCACCAATCTTCAAGATCTGGAGACTTCTCATCCGGTCTCCTGATTGTTTCGTCAATAAATCCAAATTTCTTCCTCGCCCTCAAGACGGTCCTCATAGACCTTGACCATTCATCATAGTTTTCTCCCTTCAAATCCACATATGTTATTAAAATCTCAGGATTGTCATTAGACGTTATATCGTACTGAGAGATGGTCTTTCGTAGTTTGTTTCGTCACCACCGCTCCCGCCGGTGCGGTGGCGTCTTTTACTAAGTGTAAAAGAGAAAGTCTTGCCTTCTTCTATTGATTAACAAGAATATATATATATAAGTCAAGTAGTAAACCTTAGTCCTAACAAATATGTAAA